CCCCAAAACCCCAAAACCCCAAAACCCCACCTTCATGGATATATATTGGGTGAGGAATATAATCATTGTGTGACTATTTGTAGATGGAGATGTTGGGAATGAACGTGAAGTTTTGAAGTATGAATAATGCTTTGAAGTGTATGCAGCATGCAGGCTGATTAGTGATGATGGCTGTGGGTGTGTTTGGGCTGATGTTGCCGGCAGTAGAGGTTTTTGTGGTACTTGGAAGGAGTGAAGGGTAAGTGAGGGGAAGGGTTTTTATGAAGAGTTTGGGGGTGGAGGGTGGGGAAGAGGGAATAGAGGGATTTTGGGGAGGAGAGGGGATAGGGGTGGGGTTTTAGGCTGGATTTTGGGGGAAGATGGTTTTCTGGAAGTTGATGATTAAATGATTGTTTGGTTAAGCGAGTATACGTTTTGAGAGTTTTTATGCTTTTTAATAACTGTTGTATTATTAGGCATTCAGGAAAAGATGCAGAAATAAGCCAGGAAAATTTTAAAGATCCCTGATTGGGATTATCAGCTACACCAGCAATGAAAGATACTCAACAAGTATCTCAAAACTTTGCTATCACTTATGTTATCTTGAACACTCTCATTTATCTGGCTTACAGAGTTTTTTTGAGCTCCAACAAAAATTTTCTTGGCTGATTAACTTCTGATAATTATTGGATTGTATTATCTTTCATTGCAAGAAGCATAGAGACATGCTTGGTTACAAAAGCGATTTCTTTGGGCCATATGTCATTGTTGGTAGCCATCCCAACTTGTGTTGCACTTGGAATGAAAACTCTCTTTCTATATTATTCGTTATTAAAATGACTTCTAAATCTGTACTCTGCATTAAAATCTAACGGAGAGAAAAGAGAGTGCATGAAATGGCTCCAACCAGGTCAGACTAACCAAAATATGGTACCTGTAGAAAGAAGATGTAACGATAGTGCTATTGAATGCAAGAGCATCTCCTGGGAGCTAGACTGAAAAATCTCCTCCATTGTATCCTTCCATTATGCTTTTGGAGCAATAGTATTACTCTGAATATTTATCAGCTCTTTCTTTGACCAAATTTTCGGATTTTTATATCAAAATATTTGGGCTGTAATCGTTCAAAATTCAATATGGATTCTTATGCTATTCCAGAGTATCTGGAGTAAAAAGAAATCTCAGATAATCAAGAAAGAATTTTTATCCCTCTCCTACTTTCTTTTTATGCTCATGATAAGCTTAGAATGCAGTTTTAGTGTGAACTATCATTTTCTCTTTGGGAAATCTCAACAATTATATGAGAATAAGTTGCTAATTTTATTGCTTATCGCTATCCATATCTCGCAGATCTTTTGTTACTTCATGTATCAGATTTATTTTTGAGAGCCACATCTTACAGAATGTGAATATCGATACAAAAATGTGATTCAGAAGATCCAGTTTACTTCCAAAGGGCCAATAACTCCAAAATTTCCGGTTCCTACTTGTGACTACTGCACGAATAACTTGGCTGATGCGTGTGTACCTTACATTACAGATAATATCAAGAACTCTTTGATTACTTCTAAATTATCAAAAGAGAGTTCTTTCTACATAATCTCTTCATGCTCGCATCATTTCCATCAGGAATGCTTTACTCTTGCATATGAGGATACCAAGAAGTGTCCAATCTGTAAATCAAGCCTGAATCATTGCTTTCTCGGATAATTCAACAAACTTCATTCTAAAAGGGGTTTTGGGGTTTTGGGGTTTTGGGGTTTTGGGGTTTTGGGG